CATGAACCATAGCTATCGACTAGTGGTGGCTTTGAAGAAAAAGACAACTAGCAATTTTGATGCAAGACTAATTGACATGCAATTAGTCTGGCATACTAAGAACATCCCCAATCCATGCTGTCTAGTCTGGAAAAAACCGTTCCACATGTCAAATAAATAATAGACTTTCTAACCCAAATAATAGGAAATGGAATGACTAGATATTAGACTATAAAAAAGGGTTCCAATGCAAAACTGTTCGGCGTCTGCTTGGAATTTTATTACTCTGATCCGTATGTTAAAAGAAATATTAAATCTGCTGCTACCTACAAATTTAAAAGAAACTAAAAGAAACTCCATCTTGGATTGCTATTGTTTCCATCTCAGAGAAGATTCTATCGCTCTACCAAACTAGGTAGTAATTAATACTACCTCCGTCCCAAAAAACTTTGTCATTTTCAAAACTTTGACCGGCTATATCTTTTTATTGAAAATGATTTATAATATAAAAGTTATATGAACATATTCTTTGTTAAGAGTACTTTCATAAAAGTATAAAATTTATAACTTACATAATATTATACTAATCAAAATTAAGGTTCAATTTTTTGGAAATGGCAAAGTTTTTTGGGACGGAGGTAGTAATTAATAATAATTAATATACACGGAGAACTACGTAGTGCCTCGTCTCGTTGTCCTTTTGGTCTAACAAAAATAAGATCGGCAAGAAACGGGGCCGGTCCTGCCTATTTTCGAGCCTATGGGCGAGATAATATTTTGGGGTTATATTCAAGACAAACAATAAACTATACTTATTTAAAATAATAATTATAATAAAATTATCTAATAAAGGTCATAAAATAAAATAAAATATCATTTAATTGTTATCATTTAAAATACATATTTGGTGAAAAGTAACAACACAAGTATTACATAAAAGAAAAATATTACTCAAAGATCTTTCTCACAGAACATTGTGAAGCAAAATCATCAATAATTGCTTCATAATCAGCCTTTTCCTTTATCTCATGTTCAGTACTTAAAATTGCTAACCCATTAAGTCTTTCTTGAGACATAGTCAATCGCAGATAATTCATCAGAATCTTTAACTTTGAAAAATATTATTTCAAAACGTTTCTCACAGAATTTTGAAGATTCAATTTTTTAACAAAAACAAATTTTTCCATTGACCCCTTCTAACTTAAGCCTACATTTTCTAATCTTTTCCTCTTTCTCTCTTTATCCCAACCTGATTTACCCATTTTATCAAGAATGGTTTATTGGTCATTATTGATTGTTTGAAGCCTTGAAAGAAGAAGATTTTTGGTCATTGATCGCCGTTTGGTCTCCTTGATTGATTGGCATCTTAACAAATCGCCGAGGCACTCACTGATTTGCAGCATTCTTTAATCTTGTTGATTTTGGAATCCGGAAACAACAAATCAATTTGGATGGACAATTAAGACAGACGTTCCACTTTACATTTATTTTAAAAATTAAACCTTGGGCCTAATTAATTGAGTTTAAAAATTACAAAAAGAAGTCTACTCACACTACATATAAAGAAATATTTTTGGGCCTATTTTTTCTTGTTATTTTCTTGGGCCTAGGGCGGTCGCCCCTGTTGCACCCCCCTAGGACCGGCCCTGGCAAGGAAGTTGTAGTCGCCGTCAACAACAAAGCCGCCACAACCTGAAGCCTTCGCCGAAAATTTCCGACATCGCCATAGACGATATTGTCGGATTGGTGGTGCTACTCATATGCATCATTCAAAAGATTTCACGGCAGAAATACATACTCCGTATGTGTGTGTGTGTGTATTAAAGTGCAGCAGTATTCAAGAGGCAATCCGCAGACGGCTTGGTGTAGTGCAATATGTCTAGTCAGCAAGTCATGAAGGCTTTCTACACTCAAACTATTTGTCTTCACAGTGTTTAATTAATTTTTGCCAACTCATCATAAATGAACGAGAGACTAGGTGCGTTGGAAGTCAATTTTAATAGACAATGTCTCAAACGATGACATGGCACACTATTTCTACACTAGAAAGGACCGCACTGTGGTTGCTCTAAAAGAAATGAAATAAACTTGTCATTAATGCTTCACGGTTAGATATTTACTATTTAACCATAAGATAAATGTTCGAGTCCCCATCTAGTCTTTTTTAAGGAGTACGTAGTACTTCCCCCGTTCTTTAATAAATGCAACACTTATCTTTTTCGGAAGTTTCAAAATAATTGCAACATTCTATTTTTGGTAAGAAAATATAGGCTCAATGACTACCATACCCCTCTCCACTCACAACCGCACAATCAATCTCTCTGCACCCAAATTTATCTCACCCACTCATGGGTCATAACAATTGATTTTTTCCTAATAGCCACGTTCCCCCATTTGCTTCTTATCTCTATCATCTTCTTCCACTTTTTTCTTGTAGCTATACTCTGCGTGAATCAGACCCGTCAACTCATGCTTTTTGTTGTTCTTCCATGTGAAGAACTATTGTTTCTTTCTTCAATTTCTTTCCAATCATCTTTTTTCTTTTATCAGAATGTTTTTCATTGTCTTTTTAAGCAATATATGGAGACAAACCGTCAACAACAAAGATACAAAATTGTTTTCGCCGGCAACTTCCTTTCAGGATCGGACTAAAAGAACAGCAAATTTAAGTCACTGTACGTCCTTACACTTTTAACTGATTTGGGCATTTGGCCGGAAGAGATTAAAGAAGAAGGAACACCGTAGGCCGCTAGAGTAGCCTGACAGTTCATTGTTTCTCTCGCTGTAATAATAGCCATGTGTCATTAAGGGTAAAGTGGGAAGACAACACTTTACTAAAGTTTCTTACTGCGCCAGAGGTAGTGTTGCATTTAAATTCGAACAGAGGGGAAGTATATGATAATGAAGCCTCTTGGACACTTGGAATTCATTATTAGAATATTAGCACGTACTCCGTATGTTTTAAGAAATTACCCTCAATGGGAGTTAAACATATGGAAAGTGCATTAATAAGAGTTGTTGTCTGCCGCCATACGCTATTTTTTTTATTTTCTTCCTTAAATGCCCTTACTTTACACGGAAGCATTGCCACATAAGCAACTTGTTTCTAACCGTTTCTTCCGGTTGGAGATTTCCTGCGCAGCTTTCAATATTTCTTTCCTTATTTCGTTCTTCCGTCTGTGATTAACATTCTTAAGGATCGTCTCGGCTCTTTCCTCTCTTCCGACTTGCCATTGCTTCTGATTTTGCGAATTTAGTTGTTTTCATTCACATTACGCATACTTGTCCCATGCGTTTTTCGCAGGTAAGCTTACTGCTTGATTTTCTGGAATATTGATTACATCTTTCTTCGAATGTTCTGCTAATATTCCTGAATGCTGATGATATGTAATTGTGCATATATGTGTTTCGCAACTGAATTCTGATAGTTTCAGTTTAGTTTTAATGTAATTCGCATTTGTTTTATGATTTTTTTGGTTTGTAAATTTCTTGTGTAAGAATTTCGATTTTTGTTGTTCAATTAGTGATTTACATTGTGATTCGATGTTTTTTGATTATCGTTTTTAATTTTTCCATTACTTCATTTGTTTTATGTCATTGTTAGCTACTCTTTGGTTGGCATTAAATGTCATAATAACAGTTTTATTATACTGATTCATGTATTATGTTGTGTTGCTGAACTTTTCATTGTTTTTTAGGCATTAATTTCTACAAATGGCTGATGTGTTGCTTGTTATGCTTAAGTTGGACGGTACATGGTTGTTTGACTATACATTTTCAAGTTTAGATACATTTGGTATTCATATTGGACTTCATTCTTCCTACACGAGCTTGCTTGATCTGCTGCGTGGAATCTTAAATCAGTACAAACCAAATCATTCATTCAGGATTTCTTATATGGTTGATGGTTGCCCCTCCTGTTTTTATTGTTGATGATGAAACTTTGAAATTCTATCTTTATATGAAGTGTTTGCAGTCGGATGTTGCAAAGTTACCCCTATGTGTGGAGTTTAAGTCTGAAACTGTTTCTGTGCTTCATGATTTTGTACCACTTCATAACTCGGTTGCACATGGTTCTACTACATCTTCATTGTCTTTGCATGTGAGTGACTCTGATTGTAGTAATCAATGGAATGGGTTGCATAGCAATTTGGCTTCCATTGATGAAGAAGATGAGTTTTGCTCTTCCTCAGAAGGCAACATTTCATCCTCAACTATTTTGCCTAATTTTTCTGGTGTTGGTTCCAAATCATTATCCTTACAGTCTGCCTCTGTTAACCACCCTGTTGACATAATTAGTCATTATCATCCAACATGTGTTATGATTAATACTATTTACACGAACAAGGCTGACTTACTTCATCATTTAAAGTTGTATATCATCACCAACAGTTTCCAATTCAGAACTCTGACATCAAAGAAGAAGGAATTACATGTTATTTGTTTGGATCCGTCGTGTGAGTGGGCAGTTCATGCAGTCAGATTAGATGGTGTACAAATGTTTGAGATTAGAAGGTATGTTGTCATGCTAACTCATATCTAATATTTTTTGTTTTTCTCATTTTTTGTATTATGTGATAACATTTTGTTCTTTGTCTTCAATTGCATTTATGAACGTTTACCTATTGTTATTGTTGCAGGTTTGATGTTGTACACACTTTCTCTGTTGACTATAGACAATTTAATAGTAGACATGCAACATCTAGTGTTGGGATATATTATCCCGGCTTATTACTGTTCAGGAGCCCAAGACATTATCCAGTACGGAGCCCGAGCAGCTAGGCCCATTTCGGCCCGTCCGGCCCACTTTGGCCATTAGGCCCGACATCGGCCCGTTTGGCCCATTAGGGTGGAGTACTTCCCTCACCCCTTTCCCTATTTATAGGAGGCTTTCCCTCCATGTAAAGGATGCTCTTTTAGCTCCATCTTCCTTCTTCTTTTAGACTTAGCTCAATACTCCATTAATGGGAGCTCGAATTGTACTATGTAATGGTGAGGAGAGTCTAATGAGAATGAGAGGGCTTGGACATTAGCCTAAAAAGTCCCGTGGTTTTCTCCCTTTCGGGTTTCCACGTAAAAACTGAGTGTTCATACATATATTTACTATATCGTGTTGGATTAAACTCAACACTGGCGCCGTCTGTGGAAATCTGTCCAAAAAGATTCGTGTGTTCTACCATTCTTGAGTTTTTTCTACAAAAAATTCATACGAACAACTATTGATTTCAACAAAAAAACAAAGAATAAAGATTCTGGAAAGTAAGCAGGAGGAAGAAGGTTCGACATGACCAAAGAAATCTTTTCTTGGGGAAGCCAGGAAGCTACGAAATCTGGGAAGCGTGTATTTTTTTTTCAGATTCTCGTTTCTGGGGTCGCCGGAGCCGCCGTCACCGTCACCGTCCCCGCCGCCATGGAACCTTCGATGGGTACCTGCACCAGACGGAACTCGCTGCGATGCCCCAGTTCTCGTCGTCCCGTCCTCTGGTCAGAACCCCCTGCAACAGAGACGCTCATGGCTAGCATCCCGTTCAACCGGCTACCGCCTGAGTCACCACACCGCCGTCCTCGTCGTCGCTGGTCAACTGCTAGTCACTCCTCCCCCTGGTCAGTCGCGACTCGAGCTTCCACGACCCTGCCGACGCGACCAAGGGAATATGCCGTATGAGAGCTCCTTGGTTGCCTCCATTAATGGAGGTTTGGAAGTTGGTGAAGGTATGTTTCGGAGCCCGGGCGACCTTCCAACGCAACCTACTTTTCCGGCAGCCTGTGCATCGCGGCAGCTTCCACTGTGACCGTCAGTCAGCGACCGACCTGTACGGTTTGGCCTTGGTGGGGTGTTCCATCTGCCTGTCCACAAGAAGCTCTTCACTTGGTTGAGAGCGGTCCACGTACGAAGGGCCAAAGTCTAAAGGGGAGTTGGCAGTAAAGATGGAGCACCGTGTATTATTTTGGGCGGTCAACACTCCACTCATGACTCTAGAAGCAAAGTAACTTATCTTACTCCTATTTTAAGTGCTCCGTATTGAGATACTAATATTATTATTAGTTAATTAGTTTTTATCACCATTATTTAAAAGGGAGTAAATTTTCCCGAAATTAAATAATGTCGAGCGATGCTCTAAGTGATAAATAGCTTCACCGCCATTTAAATTAGATGACTGGTTGTTCTGGGCCCGTTGGCCCGCTCCCGATCAGCTTTAATTAGCGAACGGAGCGTATCTGAATGACTTATGGTAGGATAATACTATTATTACTACCCGTACATCACTATTACTACCTCCGTCCCTTAAAACTTTGCTAAGTTTGACCGACACAGAGATTAATAAAGTAAAAACTGTGTGGTTGAGGTTTGTGCAGAGGAGAGAGAATTAACTGGAACCACAAATTGTTTACTTAAAATAGAAAGTGGCAAAGTTATTGGGACAACCAAAAAAGGTAAGTTGGCAAAGTTTTAAGGGACGGAGGGAGTATTTATTAGGGATAAAAATGTCCCGAAATTAAATAATGCAGAGTGAAGCTCTAGTGATAATTAGTTCAGCCAACTTTTTTATTAAAATATTTAATTATTGGTGGGTTCGATTAGCCTACTCTCGATCAGCTTTGATTAAGTGATCCGAGCGTCTCCAGAAGGGCGATGCCCCGACGACGCACTTTAATTGGAGGGTTGCGCATTAGTCCACACGGCACTAGGGCTGGGACCGGTTCGGTTCTTACTCAAAATGAGTGGAACCGTTATAAAAGTTTTAACTAATGAAATCGGTTCGGTTCTTATATAAAAAATCAAGAACCGTTATGGAACCGAACCGGTAGTAAACGGTTCGGTTCTTCCTTTTACTGGTTCCTAGAATAATTTTTTCTCGTCTAAAAATCAACACATAATTTATTTTCTACAAATAATATAAACACGTCGAAAATTCAAAACACGTGTATTAAAATTTTATTTCAAGCTCTAATCACTTCAAACACCAAACCTCAAACTTAACTAATGAACTTTGAACACATAATAGAACAAAAGTGATTTAAATTTTCATGTAACAAATGAAACATTAAAAATCGTTGTAGTGTCGGAGTGATGAAGGTTACTCGTCATCATAGTAGCAAGAATAGGACGCCTACTTCAAGTCTTTCAAAGCATAAAAAAAGACATTGAGTTTGCATGTATAAATATAAAAAAACATTATTACATTCTATTGATTCATAATAAAGCTAATAATTAGAAATATCATGAAAATAGTAAAGTAAAATATGTGCAATCAACTACAAATAATTTGGGTTATTTTATACGGAGTATTTATAAAATTTATATGATGGAACAAAACTTGATTTGTAGAAAGGAGTTTAATGTATTATATCAACCTCTTGTACAATATTTATTACTTCTTTTCCGTTGATTAAATTAGAATTGTTAGTTAAATATCTTATATTGTTTTCTTATAGTTGTTTTTGGTGGTGGTTATTATTGCTATTATATTATTATTATTATTATTAGGGAAAAATAATTAAAATACCCCAAACTTTGAGGGGGTGTGAGATAAGCACCCCAAACTTGCATATGTAATTTAAATACCCTGAACTTTTTATAAAAAGTTATTTTAGCACCATTTTCATGTTTATTTCTTTAAAAATGTTAATTTTTGGTGTTAATTTGATAATTTAAAATATTTTAGCATTCATGAACATACAATTAACATTCTAAACTTCCGTTGTAAATAAAAAATACTACTTCCTCCCACTCTATATAATTGCAACATTTTTAATTTACTATTTTGAATTATGCAATTAACACCATAAATTTCTATTTTTGAAAAAAATAATATATGATCATGGTGCTAAAATAACTTTTTATATAAAGTTTGGGGTATTTAAATTACATATGAAAGTTTGGGGTGTTTATCTCACACTCCTTCAAAGTTCGGGGTATTTTATTTATTTTTCCCTTATTATTATCATTATTATTATTATTATTATTATTATTATTATTATTATTATTATTATTATTATTATTATTATTATTATTATTATTATTATTATTATTATTATTATTATTATTATTATTATTATTATTATTACTACTACTACTACTACTACTACTAATATTTTTTTTTTATTTTTTTTTATAACGGTTCCTTAACGGTTCCATGCACATATTTTTTATAGGAACCGGGAACCGAACCGTTATAACCCGCTTCGGTTCGGTTCCTACAAATGAGGCATTAATTGTTAACGGTTCGGTTTCTAGATGTTGTTAACGGTTCGGTTCCAATCGGTTCTACGGTTCCCGGTTCCAAAATCCCACCCCTACACGGCACTACGTGCCCGATCGACGACCGTACCCCAGAACCATCCGCGCCGCTAGGCGCGAAGTGACTATTGCCAAACGTGGCCTATGGGGCCCGAGGGCACCGAAGCGCTCAACCTCGTCTTTTCGAGGGCAGTGCGACCAACTTGGGTCTGAGTTTTCAAACTCACAGACCAGTGATTATCTCTATGTGACGTTCGGCGGGCTGCTAATTGGCCCCGCCGCGAGCTGCTACGTCCATTAACCCCGCACGATGAGCCGGGCCGAGGGTCACGATGACCCATAGGCCGGTAATCGTGGATGTTAAAGAGAAAGCCATGCAAATGGTTATGTGTGCATATTTATTGTCGGGCCGTGCGGCCCGTTACCATGTTAGTTACGCAGCTGAAGCCACTCGACGTGATCGAGCGAAATGATTAAAAGACGCTCGACCTGAGTCTCAAAGGCGTTCAGGGCCAGCTAAAGAGGAGACCATCACAACTGAGAGCCGAGAGATGAGCATCTCCACCCAGAGGCCGAGGGCCTAGAGGAGACCACCACAGTTGAGAACTGTGGGACAAGCATCTCCACGCCAGAGACCGATGGCCTAGGAAGAACACCTAGAGGCCGAGGGTCTAGAGGCGAATGCCATGACAGAGAACCGTGAGACGATCACCCGTCATTCAGAGGCCGAGGGCCTAGAAGAGATCGTCACGGCCGAGGGCCGTCTGATGCCATCATTACATCATGACCGGCCCCTCGGCACAGCATGATCATCATATTTGAAGACCGGCCTCGTCCCCGCACTTCGCGGATGAGGACCGCTGCTTGGATTTCAGGTCAACCTCTCATTGCCGACATCATTATATCACGACCGGCCTCTCGGCACGGCGTGTTTATCTTTTGAAGACCGGCCTCGTCCCCGCGCTGCGCGGATGAGGACCGTTGCTTGATTTTAGGTCGGCCTCTCATTGCCGACATCATTATATCACGACCGGCCTCTCGGCACGGCGTGATTATCTTATTTGAAGACCGGCCTCGTCCCCGCGATGCGCGGATGAGGACCGTTGCTTGATTTCAGATCGGTCTCCCGTTGCCGACTTCATTATATCATGACCGGCCTCTCGGCTCGGCGTGTTTATCTTTTGAAGACCGGCCTCATCCCCGCACTGCGCGGATGAGAGCCGTTGCTGGATTGCAGGTCGGCCCCTCAGTGCCGACACTATCACATCATGTTCGGCCTCTCATCGCCGACATCATCATACCACGACCGGCCTCTCGACTCGGCGTGCTTATCTTTTGAAGACCGGCCTCGTCCCCGCCACATCGCGGACGAGGACCGTTGTTTGATTCTTTCAGGTCGGCCTCTCACTGCCGACACTATCATGTTATGTCCGGCCTCTCGGCACGACATATTTATGTTTTGAAGACCGGCCTCATCCCCGCACTGCGCGGATGAGAGCTGTTGCTGGATTGCAGGTCGGTCCCTCAGTGCCGACACTATCACATCATGTTCGGCCTCTCATCGCCGACATCATCATACCACGACCGGCCTCTCGGCTCGGCGTGCTTATCTTTTGAAGACCGGCCTCGTCCCCGCCACATCGCGGACGAGGACCGTTGTTTGATTCTTTCAGGTCGGCCCCTCATTGCCGACACTATCACATCATGTTCGGCCTCTCGGCACGACATACTTATCTTTTGAAGACCGGTTCCATCCCCGCGATGCGTTGGATGAGAGCCGTTGCACGGATATATCGGCCTGACCAGACACTATTGTCATCTCCTTATCAGGACCGACTGCTCAGCGACATTATGATCATTGTATATCGGCTCCCAACGCCGACCTTCTTGAGTTAGCGATCAGGCTCACCCCTCCCCTCCAGGAGGGTTACCATCGCCTTTGCATGACGACCAGCTATTCTATCGCCTCGTCGTTATATTCGTTCGCTATGCCACCACCATTATGTGTGACATCCCGTGATCCCTGCGAGTTTCTTGGATACCGAATGTCTTCTTCGATGTAGGAAGATCGGTAGGACCACGGACCAGGGACGGACAAAGAAGAGCTAGGGAATCTCGATGTAGATAAACCTGTTCCTCCTTGCGAGTTTCGCTGGTACCGAACGTCTCTTCGAAGCAAGAGCGCCGGTAGGACCAAGAACCAAGGACGAACCAAGAATATAGATTGCCTCCCTCAAACAAAAAAACAGATGGGGAGAAGAGGAGGTGAGCTCCTATGTGGAAGGGAATCTTGCCCGGGTGTGCCACATCTTCTCCCACCGCCGAAGACGAACGCCTCTTGATATAGAGGTTAGTAGAGACGTAGAGGGGGCTAGACGAACCAAGGGAGCCTTGCCAAGATAAACCTGTTCATCCCACGATGACCATGGATCGATGGGCGTGGGATAACAAAGCCGGGAACCCGTGAGGGTAAACCAGTTCGTCCCTGCGAGTTCCTTGGATACCGAACGTCCTCTTCGAAGCAAGAGACGCCGGTAGGACTAAAAGGACCACGGACGAATGAAAAGGGGGGAATCTCGATGCAGATAAACCTGTTCCTCCTTGCGAGTTTTGAGGATACCGGACGTCTCTTCGAAGTAAGGACGCCGGTAGGACCAAGAACCAAGGACGAACGAAGACTAAAAGACTCCAAAAAAAAAGATGCCAGAAGAGCACGGAGCAAAGAATGATTTTATCCCTCAGCGCTATTGACCGGGAAGTACAAACTGAAAAACATATGTAAAGAATAATTACAAAACTTAAGTACGAAGAATGAAGTGGCCGACGACGATCGGCTAACATCAGGTTTTCTTTTGCCTTGGACGACGAATACCAGCTCCCCAGATCAGACAGAGGGACGACGCCCAGGTCCACCCTTCCTCCCAGGATGAAGTCCTGACAGACGATCGGTTTCTCATAGCCAGCCAAGACGGACCGCGCCTAGATTTCACGGTTCGGCTCGCCCATCCCCCTCCAGGATGGCGACGACCATCTTATGCGGTACGATCGGCCCCTCAGCGCCATCGTACCCAGCTCACGTTCAGCTCGTCCATCCCTTCCAGGGTGGCGACGAACGTCTTATGCATCACGATCGGCCTCTCAGCACCATCATGTCCAGATTCACGGTTCGGCTCGCCCACTCCCTCCAGGATGGCGACGACCGTCTTATGCAGTACGATCGGCCCCTCAGCGCCATCATACCCAGCTCGCGTTTAGCTCGTCCATCCCTTCCAGGGTGGCGACGAACGTCTTATGCAGTGCGGTCGGCCCCCTCCTCGCCATCGTACCTGGTTTCACGGTTCGGCTCGCCCATTCCCTCCAGGATGGCGATGACCGTCTTATGCAGCACGATTGGCTTCTCAGCGCCATCGTGTCTCTTTCACGTTTGGATCGCCCCATTCCCTCCAGGATGGCGACGAACGTCTTATGCAGTGCGATCGGCCCCTCAGCGCCATCGTACCCAGCTCGCGTTCAGCGCGTCCATCCCTTCCAGGGTGGCGACGAACGTCTTATGCAGTGCGATCGGCCCCTCAGCGCCATCGTACCTGGTTTCACGGTTCGGCTCGCCCATTCCCTCCAGGATGGCGATGACCGACTTATGCAGCACGATCGGCTTCTTAGCGCCATCGTGTCTCTTTCACGTTCAGATCGCCCCATTCCCTCCAGGATGGCGACGAACGTCTTATGCAGTGCGATCGGCCCCTCAGCGCCATCGTACCTGGCTTCACGGTTCGGCTCGCCCATTCCCTCCAGGATGGCGATGACCGTCTTATGCAGCACGATCATCTTCTCAGCGCCATCGTGTCTCTTTCACGTTCGGATCGCCCCATTCCCTCCAGGATGGCGACGAACGTCTTATGCAGTGCGATCGGCCCCTCAGCGCCATCGTACCTGGCTTCACAGTTCGGCTCGCCCATTCCCTCCAGGATGGCGACGACCGTCTTATGCAGCACGATCGGCTTCTCAGCGCCATCGTGTCTCCGATTGGAAAGCTCGAGTCAGAGTGCTTTACTCCCGCCTGATGCATTCAGGGGGAGTGTGCCCGTGGAGGAGCACCCTTCGCCCGACCCTGTCGGAAGGGGGGTGCCTCACTGGTAGATTACGTTCAGGAGTGCAGACACTCACTCATATATTATGATTATGTGAAGACACAGTTTCCAGCAACACAGAGGAAGAGCGCAGGCAGAGTATATTTTCTCGAGCAGATTCGCGAGCTCACTACTCAAGAAACTGGGGGACTTGTGTTGGGATATATTATCCCGACCTATTACTGTTCAGGAGCCCAAGACATTATCCAGTACGGAGCCCGAGCAGCTAGGCCCATTTCGGCCCGTCCGGCCCACTTTGGCCATTAGGCCCGACATCGGCCCATTTGGCCCATTAGGGTCGAGTACTTCCCTCACCCCTTTCCCTATTTATAGGAGGCTTTCCCTCCATGTAAAGGATGCTCTTTTAGCTCCATCTTCCTTCTTCTTTTAGACTTAGCTCAATACTCCATTAATGGGAGCTCAAATTGTACTATGTAATGGTGAGGAGAGTCTAATGAGAATGAGAGGGCTCGGACATTAGCCTAAAAAGTCCCGTGGTTTTCTCCCTTTCGGGTTTCCACGTAAAAACTGAGTGTTCATACATATATTTACTATATCGTGTTGGATTAAACTCAACACTGGCGCCGTCTGTGGGAATCTGTCCAAAAAGATTCGTGTGTTCTACCATTCTTGAGTTTTTTCTACAAAAAATTCATACGAACAACTATTGATTTCAACAAAAAAACAAAGAATAAAGATTCTGGAAAGTAAGCAGGAGGAAGAAGGTTCGACATGACCAAAGAAATCTTTTCTTGGGGAAGCCAGGAAGCTACGAAATCTGGGAAGCGTGTATTTTTTTTCCAGATTCTCGTTTCCGGGGTCGCCGGAGCCGCCGTCACCGTCACCGTCCCCGCCGCCATGGAACCTTCGATGGGTACCTGCACCAGACGGAACTCGCTGCAATGCCCCAGTTCTCGTCGTCCCGTCCTCTGGTCAGAACCCCCTGCAACAGAGACGCTCATGGCTAGCATCCCGTTCAACCGGCTACCGCCTGAGTCACCACACCGCCGTCCTCGTCGTCGCTGGTCAACTGCTAGTCACTCCTCCCCCTGGTCAGTCGCGGCTCGAGCTTCCACGACCCTGCCGACGCGACCAAGGGAATATGCCGTATGAGAGCTCCTTGGTTGCCTCCATTAATGGAGGTTTGGAAGTTGGTGAAGGTATGTTTCGGAGCCCGGGCGACCTTCCAACGCAACCTACTTTTCCGGCAGCCTGTGCATCGCGGCAGCTTCCACTGCGACCGTCAGTCAGCGACCGACCTGTACGGTTTGGCCTTGGTGGGGTGTTCCATCTGCCTGTCCACAAGAAGCTCTTCACTTGGTTGAGAGCGAGTTCGTATACCGTGGTATCACCCCACGGTGAGCACCGTGCTCCCACACCCAAAACGACGTAGTTTTGCACAATTTTTTTAAAAAAAATTCGTGTGAACAGTAACGCGTGAACAGTACACGCGTGTACAATAACTATTTTTTTGGCCCAATAATATGAATGATGTAACTCGCGTGTAAAGATATGTAACTCACGTTATTGATCAATGTAACTCAAGTTCATTCGAAATGTAACTCTCTTTTTCAATGTAAACAATGAAAAAGAGAGTTTAGTTGCACAATTACTTTATGTAAATCTTAAATATGTTTGGTTTTTAATATCATGACCTGATAAAGGATTTTTAAAAAAATCATTTTTTTTGTTTGAATACCAGATTTTTTATTATGTAACTCATGTTATTACAAATGTAACTCGCGCTTCAGAAGATGTAACTCACTTCTAAAAAGATGTAACTTTAAAAAATGTAACTCACATATAAAAATATGTAATTCCATGTATTAATTAATATACATATAAACCAATTACTCCATATCACCATACGCATCCAAACCAATTACTCCATAAAAAAGCAGTAAGCTTCCCTTCCCTAATTCTTTCCACAAAATCAAAGAGCACTATTCTTCAGCAGCTAACCGAGCTTTCTCTTCAGGGCTGGGGGTGTCAATTCACGATTCAAAGAAGCGAAGAGAGAACTTTTTTTGATTGGTTGGGGATTTGAGCTGCACGAATCTAGATACATCCAACGGGGGCTCCAATGATTTTCCATGTCCCTAAATTGAATCTGCGGAGAAACGGCCTGCCGAAAAGTTGGGAAGGAAGAAGATCGATTTTTTTTTTAAATAAAACGATGCCGCTTAGGGATCGGCACACCCTGCGCACGCTGGGTCGATCCCACGGTATAATCTGCGGTTGAGAGCGGTCCACGTACGAAGGGCCAAAGTCTAAAGGGGAGTTGGCAGTAAAGATGGAGCACCGTGTATTATTTTGGGCGGTCAACACTCCACTCATGACTCTAGAAGCAAAGTAACTTATCTTACTCCTATTTTAAGTGCTCCGTATTGAGATACTAATATTATTATTAGTTAATTAGTTTTTATCACCATTATTTAAAAGGGAGTAAATTTTCCCGAAATTAAATAATGTCGAGCGATTCTCTAAGTGATAAATAGCTTCACCGCCATTTAAATTAGATGACTGGTTGTTCTGGGCCCGTTGGCCCGCTCCCGATCAGCTTTAATTAGCGAACGGAGTGTATCTGAATGACTTATGGTAGGATAATACTATTATTACTACCCGTACATCACTATTATTTATTAGGGATAAAAATGTCCCGAAATTAAATAATGCAGAGTGAAGCTCTAGTGATAATTAGTTCAGCCAACTTTTTTATTAAAATATTTAATTGTTGGTGGGTTCGATTAGCCTACTCTCGATCAGCTTTGATTAAGTTATCCGAGCGTCTCCAGAAGGGCGATGCCCCGACGACGCACTTTAATTGGAGGGTTGCGCATTAGTCCACACGGCACTACGTGCCCGATCGACGACCGTACCCCAGAACCATCCGCGCCGCTAGGCGCGAAGTGACTATTGCCAAACGTGGCCTATGGGGCCCGAGGGCACCGAAGCGCTCAACCTCGTCTTTTCGAGGGCAGTGCGACCAACTTGGGTCTGAGTTTTCAAACTCACAGACCAGTGATTATCTCTATGTGACGTTCGGCGGGCTGCTAATTGGCCCCGCCGCGAGCTGCTACGTCCATTAACCCCGCACGATGAGCCGGGCCGAGGGTCACGATGACCCATAGGCCGGTAATCGTGGATGTTAAAGAGAAAGCCATGCAAATGGTTATGTGTGCATATTTATTGTCGGGCCGTGCGGCCCGTTACCATGTTAGTTACGCAGCTGAAGCCACTCGACGTGATCGAGCGAAATGATTAAAAGACGCTCGACCTGAGTCTCAAAGGCGTTCAGGGCCAGCTAAAGAGGAGACCATCACGGCTGAGAGCCGAGAGATGAGCATCTCCACCCAGAGGCCGAGGGCCTAGAGGAGACCACCACAGTTGAGAACTGTGGGACAAGCATCTCCACGCCAGAGACCGATGGCCTAGGAAGAACACCTAGAGGCCGAGGGTCTAGAGGCGAATGCCATGACAGAGAACCGTGAGACGATCACCCGTCATTCAGAGGCCGAGGGCCTAGAAGAGATCGTCACGGCCGAGGGCCGTCTGATGCCATCATTACATCATGACCGGCCCCTCGGCACAGCATGATCATCATATTTGGAGACCGGCCTCGTCCCCCTATGAACGTCGGTTTATAGATGCATGGACCTCTAAGCTTCTCCGATTGGAAAGCTCGAGTCAGAGTGCTTTACTCCCGCCTGATGCATTCAGGGGGAGTGTGCCCGTGGAGGAGCACCCTTCGCCCGACCCTGTCGGAAAGGGGGGTGCCTCACTGGTAGATTACGTTCAGGAGTGCAGACACTCACTCATATATTATGATTATGTGAAGACACAGTTTCCAGCAAGACAGAGGAAGAGCGCAGGCAGAGTATATTTTCTCGAGCAGATTCGCGAGCTCACTACTCAAGAAACTGGGGGACTTGTGTTGGGATATATTATCCCGGCCTATTACTATTCAGGAGCCCAAGACATTATCCAGTACGGAGCCCGAGCAGCTAGGCCCATTTCGGCCCGTCCGGCCCACTTTGGCCATTAGGCCCGACATCGGCCCGTTTGGCCCATTAGGGTGGAGTACTTCCCTCACCCCTTTCCCTATTTATAGGAGGCTTTCCCTCCATGTAAAGGATGCTCTTTTAGCTCCATCTTCCTTCTTCTTTTAGACTTAGCTCAATACTCCATTAATGGGAGCTCAAATTGTACTATGTAATGGTGAGGAGAGTCTAATGAGAATGAGAGGGCTTGGACATTAGCCTAAAAAGTCCCGTGGTTTTCTCCCTTTCGGGTTTCCACGTAAAAACTGAGTGTTCATACATATATTTACTATATCGTGTTGGATTAAACTCAACACCTAGTGTTATTGCTAATCTTGTGGCACACAAATTTTTGGATGCTTCTGTTAAACCTTATACGCCAAAACAGATCAAGCATGATATGAATTTGGAATATTGGATTTCTATGTCGTACAAGAAAACTTGGGAAGCACAGAAACGTGCAAAGGAAAGGCATTTCGGATCTGATGCAGAGTCATACCAGAAGCTACCTTCAATGGCGTATGTACTTGAAGAAGCAAATCCAGATTCTACCATAAAACTTGTAACGGCTGCTGATGGTGCATTTCAGTATTTTTTCTTTTCATTAAAACCTTGGCGTGAAGCATGAGAGTTTTGTAGACCTGTACTTATCTTAGATAGCTCGTTCATGAAGGCATATTACAAAGGTACTTTGCTTACGGCCTGTGCTCAAGATGCCAACAACCACATCATTCCCTTGGCATTTGAAATCTGTGATTTTGAAACCAAAGCATCTTGGCTGTGGTTTCTAAGCAGGTTGAGTGGTTCAATCTCTATGCGAAGTGATATGTATATAGTGTATGATCGCCACAAAGGCTTAATCTCTGCTGCTGCTGAAGTCTTCCCCCATGCTCTTCATGGCTTTTGTGTTGAACACCTGAGGCGTAATTTGATTTCAAAATTCAGAAGTGGTGCCAATGGTCTTGGATGGAAGTTTAAAGCTGCTTATTCAGCAAACACTATGCAAGAACTTGAGGAATATTTGTCAATGTTGGACACAGAAGATGCTAGAATCCGACCTTGGTTAAGTAAAGTTGGTAACCATAGATGAGCTAAGTGTGTTGCTGGTCCACGCAGATATGGCATCAGGACATCAAATTGTGCAGAATCGTTAAACAAAGTAAATGTTTGTGCTAGAGAGTATTCAGTTTGTAAATTGGTTGATTTTTTACGTGAAAGAATGCAACAGTGGTTCACGAAAAGTAGTGAGGAAGCCCTTAAAACATCCATTTTCTTGTCCCCCAAAGGCGAGAACCATTTAGTTACTGTGCAGGCTGAATCCACACGCATGCAGGTTTCAGTGTTTTCCCTATTTCATTAATTGAGGTTGTAACTTATTGCCATAAGTGTTGTTATATTTTCGTATGTATCACTTTATTGCCATCTTTCAGTTTATGAATATGACTCTTGGCTTTTGTTTTCTTACATTCATTATTTCTTAACTGTATTTTTTATATGCTTTCTATCAGGTGAAATCAACTTTATATTTCGAGTTTGAAGTTGTGGATCGCTATTGTAGATCTTTTGTTGTTAACCTCAACCACAAGACTTGTGTAACACCCCCATTTTCCCTCCCAAAATAATACTTGAAATAATAGATTTATTGATAATAAACTTGATTTATTCAAAACAGATGAAAAGTTTTGCAGCGGAAATAACATTAATTGGGAAATGGGTGTTACCGCCACATCCTGTCATCTCTTAACCGAATGCACAAGCAATCCCAAAACAAAACAGAATAAAACAAGTGTTCGACATAATTAAATTATAATTTTTGACTAGGTTTGACTAAGGCATTTCTAAACCGCTCTCGTGGTCATACAATCATCAGTCCACATAAGCATCATCACCTGCACAAATAAAGTGCCGAAAACAAAACAGGGAAAAAGAAACAAAAATTAGCTTTAGAGCTAAGTAAGTACTACCCAACCCCGTAAAATAATCAGGTTTGGCGAAATATAGTTTTTCATATAGTACTATATAAAAATGACACACTCCACCAAAATTCTTTTCTCTTTGATATTTCTCAAAATCACTTCTTTAATAAAGTCCTCAACTTTTCTTTGAAAATACTATAGTAACTCTTCTAATAGAATTTCTCAAAATTCACTTCTTCTCTATCTTCCTAGTAATTTAGAAGGGCGGTGCTCAACACTCTGGTTGAGCCCGGTGGTTACGTTGTTATGTACGGCCACCCCGGGACTTTTCCCGGTACCACAACTGCTAATGGAAACGAAACGACTACCTTAAGTGTGCACACCCCCTAAAAGGGATTCCAAGCCCTCCGAGTAGTAAGTCGTCACGAGTAATCGGGACTCAGTCTACCAACTACCCCACCTTTAGAATTCTTGAATGATTAGGGACTACTACTACTATAACTTCTTCTTAAAAGGGATCATAGATCCAATTGTCACTTCAAACTCAAACTGTACTTCTTAGTAGTAGCAGCCTTAATCACCCTCCACATTTATCCGGATGTGGAAAACCGACACCACGGATTTCTCCCGGGTGCTCACTTATGAAAACGTAAATTTTATCTTGACTTTAGATATACTTCCAAAAATATTTCTCAATCTCTCTAAATAGTCTCAAAGGTATTTAAAAATATTTAATACCCAAAAGTACTTAGTTTGCACTTCTCAAATACCATAGATCTAATATCTCCTCAAAATCACATACAAATTCAAAATTCACATTTAATCACATAATAACATATAGTACTAGGAAATCATTTTGGATCGGCAGAGAAACTTACCTTAAATCGCAATAATCCCCTTAATAAAATCTCTAACTTGGTCTTCACTTGAACTCTCCTTCTAATATATATAAAAATTCTAAATCAATAACTATTCTATTATTAATGTTATTTCCGCTGCAAAACTTTTCATCTGTTTTGAATAAATCAAGTTTATTATCAATAAATCTATTATTTCAAGTATTATTTTGGGAGGGAAAATGGGGGTGTTACAGATTTACCTGTAATACCCCGGGCCCGCAGGACCCGAAGTAGTTACTCCGGACCAATAGTACTGTCCTGATGTGTATTTTCTCGCACTTAAAATAGTTGTAGAAAAGTGGTGTAAAGTACGAGTATCGTCTCCACAGGGACGGACAAAAGGGAAATAAAGATTAACTAAATTCAGCGATTAAACAGAAATAAATAAATTAAAATGCGATGTGCGAGATTTGATTGATTGAATTAAAATTAAAACTAATGCTAATGCGCGATAAAAATAAAAGATTATTTTCTTCTCAATTAACGACGAAGGGAGCAGGGATTGATTCCGGGGTAACCAGATTTCTGGCAGATTAGGCCTAATTACATGAATTTAATTTAATTGAGCCTAGCTAATCATTACTAAGTTCTTACCGCTCTCGCGGCGTAGAGTACAATAATTTAGGGGACCAGGCTGATCTCTCATGCGACAGGATCCTAAATTATTGCCAAGACGAGCGAGCTTACGGCCCCTTAATCGCTACTAATCTCTTAGCGAACGATTAAGTGTGTGTGAATGTGTCCTAGAACAAATTAGATCTCTCTTAATTTATTCTACATGCAATTGTAATTCTAGCTGCAGTCTAGGTTACAAGAGATATCAATTAAATTATTCAAACACAAATTAAACGGCATTCATGCAATTAAACCGACAAGAATCTAACCATACATCATGATTAACCCCTTCATCAATCCCAAATCCCTAATTAAAGTACTCACAATTCATAATTGAAGAATCAACAGAATTGGGATGAATAGAAATAATTGTCATTAATTAAAAAGATGAACTTACAAATAATCCCAGGGTCTTGGAAGAAAATAGCGTAAAACGGTGTTAAATTCGTCCCTAGGCCTCTCCGTAATGTTCGTAACCCCCAAAACGGGGTTATGGGGGCCTTATTTAAAGAAAACAACGAATTCGGGTCGAATTAGGACAAATCGCGGCCAGGCACGGTGCCAGGCACGACCGTGCCTGCGACCGTGCCTACGGAAGAAATCCGTATTTTGCGTCCAGGCACGGAGTGCCTAACTGCCAGGCACGACCGTGCCTGGCTTCCAGTAGCCAATTTCCTCGAAATATGCCAGGCACGGCGTGCCTAGCTTCCAGGCACGGCGTGCCTGGCCTCCAGTAGCTCCCAGGAAAATTTACGTTTCAGGCACGGCGTGCCTAGCTGCCAGGCACGGCGTGCCTAACCCTATTCTTCACTTTTCCTTCGTTTTCTTGTTCCGAATGCTCCCGGATGCCTACGAGGTCGATCCAAATGCTCTTTCTTTACCAGAATTTCGTCACGAATCTCCCGGTGGCCTCCAAATCTTTCTCGAATGCCTTCAAATCCTTCCCGAATGCCTCTCAAGCGCCGATTGCCGGACTCTAACTTCTTCAAATCAACTTCAAATGCAATGAAACTTGATCCAACGCCTGCTAAACACAACTTGAGCCAAAATTGAGACTTGCATCGCCTTAAAGCTAGGAAAATCATCAAAATCCAACCCGAACACGCATCAAATGCGTGTCTAAATACGGACTTATCATGTCCCCACAAACCACCACGAGCCTTTACCGCGCACTTTGTCCTCACTCGTGCGCGCCCTGAGAAACTTCCCAGGGGGTCACCCATCCCAAGACTACTCTCGTGCAAGCACGCTTAACTTTGAAGTTCTTGGGTGATAAGCTCCCTTAAAAGTAGATGCATCTCTGTTGGTATGAGTAGTACTATTAATCCATTTATATTAAATCTCAAGTGTTACAACTTGTACCTGTGGCAGTTTTCAATTGGAACAATTTGTGTGTGTTCATGCAGTTGCTGCTATTCGTGTGCGCCCCCGTTTATCTTGCTATGCTTCATCTCACCATTATATTCACGTGATTCATGGCTTTCGACTTGGAGTGCTGCTGTACATCCCATTGTTGATCCACAATCATGGTTGGTTCCTCAACATGTTCGTGATCAGATTTGCAAGCTGTTAAGTTGTCTCAAAAGACCCGCTGGACGTCCTAAGAAGACCAGAATTCCTTCTGTTGGGGAGTTTCGTGGATCTGGATCTGAACGACAAAAGTGCTCTCGCTGTCATATATTCTCGGGCATAATAAAAAATCATGTTGCAATCCTGTCCCTATTTCTATGCAGTGATTATATGTGTTTCTGTTTTTTACTTCTAGTATTTGTTTAACCCTTCATATACAGTTTTATCAGACATACTTGTTTAGTGACAAACAATGTTTTTGCTGTTTTGTGTGTGTAATAGAGCACAATAATAATGTAGAAGTATAAATGGCATTCAATTTGCATTCTGTCTTGGAATTCGTATGTTACCAGAAACATTTGTGATGAATTAAACCCAAATTCCATCTTTGAATATGAATTTAAATCAATATGGACACCACAATAAGAATTGCAATTAAATAACGAGTAAACATTTGCATAGTTTAACATGAGTACATAGAATCAGTTCAACTTGGACAAAAGCAACTAAACCAAAAACCAATTCGCATAGTTTTACTTGAACACAAACATAACAGATAATGTCAAATACACATTCTTATTTCTAATAATTTCCAAGGAGTTTTCCATAAGTTGGGCAAAGGAAGTACGAAACATATAATTGATCATATTATTACTAGGGATGGACTCGGTTCGGGCCGCCCAGCCCGGAACTGGCCCGGAACTGTTTAGAACCGGCCCGACCCGGGAAACCGGTTCCGGTTCGGGCCTAGGCCCGAGGGGTTAAGCGGTTCCGGGCCCGGGTCAAACAAAAGGCGAACCGGTCCGGTCGGGCCCGGTTCGGGTCTTTTTTATTTTTTTTTTGGGTTTTTGGGGTTTGGACTGGGTTTAGTTGGGTTGAGTTGGGTGTTTCCGAGGAGTTTGAGGGGTGGGGGGGATAGGGGTGGGGGATGAAATAAATAAGAAATCAAAAACAAAAACAAAAAATTGAACCGGAACCGGCCCGGAACCGCCGCCTACCCGGGCTGATTCCGGTTCCCCCATTCCCAAAAAAAGGCCCGACCCGGGTCCATCCCTAATTATTATTCCTTTTTTTTAATCTATGCTTTACCCTTTTATACCCACTTTTATGTACAACGGAATGCTTTACCCTTTTATATCCAACAATGCTTGATGTACCCACCTTATACCCATCATTGTTTGTGGAGGTTTTTTTTGTCTGTGCAAAATATTATCTGTGAGCCGGAGTTTACAGAAAAAAAAAACACTTCACAAATATAGGTGTGTACAAAAGTGGGTATATCATTTTTTATTTCCTTATTATCTTTTGATCAACTTTAGTCGGATTGGGATGCATTAACCGATGGTCCAATCATTCACAACTGTTAGGACGGTCAGGTTGTAGTGACCAGATAGCATAAAGGTTGCCCGAGACACGGACCAACTCATATCCCAAACCGCGTTGTATTAGGTAATACGGACTCCGTAATGCTTTTTTTAGAATAACTTTTCAAGCATTACCCCCAAAATACGTGTTCATCATGTGTGTTTTGACTCTTCCCCTTCTCCAGAAGTATCCCTTTTCTTCTTTACTTCTTCCCCAATCCCACTACAACTCTGCCGCAGAATGTTAGCTTAACTCGGATTATTTCATCATATATATTTATGTTCTCGAATTTGTATTCACAAGAGATCCAGAAACAGTTGAGCGTTCTTGGAAATTCAATTCATCCGAATTCCAGGGATGATGATGAAGTATCCTCATCCTGGAGTAGATTCAATCATCTGGGCAGCCGTTTTAATCGTCTGTATAATTGGGTTCTCACCGTCGTGCTGTGTTGGGATTCGGATCCTGCCGGTGGAGAGTAATGGCCGGGGAGATGCTGGATTTGGATTTTCAGAGGCGCCGGCCTACCGGAATGGGGCGAACTGTCCGGCTCCGGCGAGGGGCAAAACGATGCCGGACCAGTACTGCTCCCCGTCGCTTGTCCATGTGGCAATGACCCTCGACTCCCAGTACCTCCGCGGGTCGCTGGCGGCGGTCCACTCCGTCCTCCGTCACGCCTCGTGCCCGGAGAACGTCTTCTTCCACTTCTTGGCCGCCGAGTTCGACCCGGCGAATCCCCGGGTCCTGACCCGCCTCGTGCAGTCCGTTTTCCCTTCGCTCAATTTCAAGGTCTACGTCTTCAAGGAAGACGCGGTCAGAAACCTGATCTCGTCCTCGATCCGACAAGCGCTGGAGAACCCGTTGAACTACGCCCGGAACTATCTGGGCGACCTGCTCGACCCGTGCGTTGACCGGGTCATCTACCTGGATTCCGACGTGATCCTCATCGACGACATTCAGAAGCTCTGGGAAGTCCGGCTCAGCCAGTCCCGGGTCATCGGGGCGCCCGAATACTGCCACGCGAACTTCACCAAATACTTCACGGACTCGTTCTGGTCCGACCCGGTTCTCCCCCGGGTATTCGAATCGAGAGAGCCCTGCTACTTCAACACCGGCGTGATGGTGATGGATCTCCGGGAATGGCGGAAGGGGAATTACAGAGAGAAGATCGAGGGATGGATGGAGCTTCAGAAGAAGAGAAGGGTATACGAGCTGGGTTCTCTGCCGCCGTTCTTGCTGGTTTTTGGCGGGAACGTGGAGCCGATCGACCACCGGTGGAACCAGCACGGGCTCGGCGGCGACAACGTGAGAGGGTCTTGCCGGAGTCTGCACCCCGGTCCGGTGAGCCTGCTGCATTGGAGCGGGAAGGGGAAGCCATGGGAGAGGCTTGATGAGAAGAAACCGTGTCCGTTGGATTATCTGTGGGAGCCGTATGATCTGTACCGACAGAATAATCGACGGTCCAACACGAAGCTGTACCATCATCATCAACAACATGATATGTCTGAGAACACCGCCAGTCCATTATTTGGGAACTCCAATTATTTTGCTTGATGATCTATTCTTTATTTTTTTTTTTTTTTTTACATTTTTACCCGATTGAGATTTGAGATTGTGATTTATACCATTCTTTGATATCTATGTACATACAGATACAAATACGAGGTTTGAATTTAGTGATTTTATATTTATTATTCAATTGATCAGTTCTATAAAACTCTAATAATAGCCCTGAATTACAGATAAGTTATGAAGCACACACATATGGGAGAATTTTACAAATAGGACTAATTCATGGTTGATTTCCAAAATTAGTACCGCTGCAACTCGTAGAACCTAATAATAATTGGAGTGACAATAATATCCTTAATTAAAAGTTGAGAACGGCTCCCCATCGAGATTCTTCGCTTTAGTAATTTCCAAAGAATGGTATGCTAATACCCTGAACTCTTTTTCCCATCTTTCAAATCATGCCAAGCTCCAATTCGATCTGCTCAATCGGATCTTCCCTTCAATTTGTGGCGACAGCGAGGAGTCTACTGAAGCTCGTCCCTTCCCATTCCTCTTCCTCTCTGAATCCGTTCGGCGATGGAGGCAGTGGAGACATTTTCGTCCATCGTAGCCCCCTGCGCTCCATGGTTGGTTCATCAGATTACTCGGTGATGACCTCGAAAAGTTCAATAATATCTATGTTAAGAAAGAGTAGGAGTTCATTATTCTTTTGTATTCAAGCAGCAAGTTTCTTTGACACCTGTGTGCTTCATACACAATTATAGCTAAAAGATTGTGTGAGTGAATGTTTAGATGATGAAAAGGAAAAGGGAATTTTCCCAAAATGGGACTATTTATCTTTACTAATTCCAAAATAGGAGCAGCCCGAAAGTCAATTTCGCATAGGACCAAATGATGACTGAAATGCCTATTATACCCTCAAGTCATAACCGCTGTATCACCATTTCCAATAACAAAAAACAAACGCGCCTCTATCATCGTGCTCTCGAGGCTCTCCAACTCTCGAAGAAACCATTATTCAACTTCCTCTCAGCAACTTCCTCAGAGCAAACCGTACTGGAAGGAGAAAACGACTGGCGCTGAGAACACAGAAGTGAGAAGCGACGAAGAAACCACCATTGTTGTCGTCAACAATGGCCGATTTGAACTCCACAAACACGGAACGGAGAAACGATATGAAGCTGGTATGTCTTTCTATATTTATGATTTACATTTGCGAAAACTAGGTTAAAATGTGTGATAAGAAGTCTAATAATGTAAGTTTCAACCTAATTTCTACTTGCATGTGAATCATTCTGAACAGGACAAGTGCGATAGATTTTTTTACTTCGATGTTTAATATGGTGTATTGTTTAAGTAGTAAACAGATGCAAACATGAATTACTTCCTTTATAGTATGTACAAGTCAAGAGAATTGCTATATATTTCTGATTTAATGAGTTGTTCCTAGAATTTATTTCAATCATGGTCTGTTTTTGAAATATTGATGAGTTCTTAGTGTTGTTTAGGAATTAAACCAGCTACTAAAAGGTCTTGACATTTTAGATTACATATACTGTCATTTTACTTACTTGCAATGATGAATGTAAACACAATATTGATATTTACTGTTCATAGGCAATAAGAAGGTCATGTGACAAGGACATCTTGTCAAAGATGAACAAACTAAGAGTAAACTGATATTGCAATGTGCTGGAAGTGGTTAAGGCCATTAAGATGTACTTGAATGAAGAAGAACAGTCTGAGTTTGGAAGAACTGTGTTTGGGTGGATTCTAAATGCAGATTCTATATCATGGATAAGTGGGCAGTTGTTATTGGGGCTGATTGGAAATCATGTTGAAGAGGTGAATCACATAATACAAACTGAGAAGATCACTTTCAACATTAGAAACAGTTTGGTGTCATTTACAAAAGAAGACTTTGCTCTGGTGACATCTTTTAGGATGGATGGAGTTAAGAAAAAAATACAAAAGGATGTGCAGGGGGATATCTGGAAGAGATATTTCAATGGAAAGACATATGTGTCAAGACAAAACATCACCGATGCTTTGATTGCCTACAACCGCGATGATGAGGGAACTATTGAGGGTGATGGTGTGAAATTAGCTCTGTTGTATCTGCTAGGGAATGCCTTATTTGGAAACCAGAATAAAGTAGTACTGCCTTCATACTATGTGAATCTTGTGGATGATATGGAAGCTTTTAATAGCTACCCATGGGGAAGAGACATCTGGGATGATTTGGTCAACAATGCAGGAAAAAGTGCTGAGTTATTGACTACAAGTTCTTCAGACCGTGTCACATTTCCTGGGTTTATGTTTGCTGTACAAGTATGGGCCTTTGAAACTCTTACAGGACTGAACAAAGCTGGTATTTGCGTCTTCAAAGAAAATCAAGAGAATGCTATTCCTCGCACCCTGAAATGGAGTTTTAACAAAAAGCCAAGTCTGCAACTTTTGTGCAAGTTGATATTCCATAACAATGAGGTATCAATTGAAATATTTTCAATGTACATAATTGATTTTAATATAAATATATTGATGAAATGGTTTTCTTTTTTGCAGTTTGAATATAAACCAATGGAACCAACAGCTCAAGAGATGGAAATACAAGAGTTGGCATTACTGTTCCAAAACTTCGAAAGAGAACGTTGGCAGTTTGATGGTGGAATAGACTGTAGTGAAGAGATACAAACTGAAGGTAATGACAAAGGTGCAGATTGCAATGAGAAAGAAGTTGAAAATGGAAGTGGAAAGGTGGAGAAAAAGAAGAAGTCAAGGTCCAGAAAGGGTGCTGCTCTTAAAAGAAAGTGCACTAGGGAAAGCAATGATGATGATGAAGATGACTCATTACTGCAAAAACTTGTTAAGAAGACTGACATGATGATGGAAGAAATGGCAAGGATTAAGAATATCCAGAGAACACATGGGTCTTTATTGAGAAAGATACTGACAAGGTTGGAAGGTACACAGGTAGTGACAGGTGAAGCTAAGAAGGTTAGCCAAGGGGAAAAGCAATGCATCTTTGAAAAAGATGATGTGGTGCTTCATGAAACAACAGCTGAAAGAGAGAAATCTGATGAAGGTGGGAACATTGAAATTGATGAAAATGCCACTGAGAAGGATGAAATTGCAGAGATGGATGCAGATAAAGGGGATCATATAAAGACAGTGCCGGAGGAGATTAATGATGCTGAAGAGTTGTTGAAGAATGATGAAAATAAAAGTTCTAATGAAAAGAAAGTAATGGCAGAGGAAGATGACACCGTTGTTGAAAAGGAGAATGCTGAAGTGTCTGAGAATGAGTTAGATTCTCAAAGACCATCGTTCAATATATTTGGTTTTTCTTCGCAGGAAGAAGAGCTTGTGAAAAAAACTGATGAGCCAGTTGTTGATGAGCCAGTTGTTGATGGCACAAGTGAGAAGATGCATGTTGGCAATGATACTGGAAAAGAGGACTGGAGAAAATTGAATGATGAAGACACAGATTATGATGAGGATGAGTTGCTCAAAGTGGATGAGCTGATTAACAAAACCATACAAAAGAGAAAAGAGAAGGCAACCGAAACAACCATTGAGGAATCCACAAAGGTATGAAATTCAAAATTGTTCAATACATATTCAAGTAATATATATAATAATAATAATAATAATAATAATAATAATAATAATAATAATTAATATCTCAATATATTGCAGAAAATGGAAGAGGTAGAAGGGAAACTGGAAAGCAAGTCAAAGAAAGAAGATGCAAGTGCTATAAATCAGGTATAGTTCTGTTAGCACTTAATTCTGACAGTACGTACTTTTTAGTATACCCAAATGTCTGATATAGTTACTGACAAACAAGACAGTATTGAACATGAGTATGTGTCAACGTTGGCAGTAACACATAGTAGGTGATGAGTATTGCTAAATGTCTGACATAGTTACTGACAAACAAGACAGTATTGAACATGAGTATGTGTCAACGTTGGCAGTAACACAGAGTAGGTGATGAGTATTGTCAAATATTGTATGTACTGACATAGGATGGCAATGATGTTCTACATGCATATGCATCCTATATTGGCAGTAATAGTGTGTAGTTAATATTTAATGGCAAATTAAGTGACATGACAGTACTTGCCAGTAAGTAATGAGAACATTTATGATCTGTTGGCAGTAATGGTATATAAAATATAAAGCGTACTGACACTTGATCATACAGTGCAAAATTATATAGGTTTACCAAGAACAAGAACCTCTAGCTGTGATTTATGGACCTGTAGGTGTAAAAAAGTCCAAAAGGAAACCTAGATCTCTGGAGCGCTACACGCCATCAGAGAGAACTGTGGAGAAAAAGAGAAGGAAGGTTGACAAAGCGAAGAAGAAGGTGCAGGAAAAGTCATTGCCGCGAACACTAGAGCTCAACGGTCCATTTTCTGAAGACCCAAAGAATATGCCAGAGAAGAATCAGGTTGATAAAGTGGCAGCTTATTTAAAAGTTGGATTGCTGAAAAACAGAAAGCGTGGTACAGGCTCTGTAAAATATAAGAAACATGATGAAAACATGCATGGAAAGCCATTCCTGTTGGACTGCATGACTATTGATTCAAAGACATGGTTGTATGAGCTGTTTACCAACCCAGAATGGTTACGCGATATGGTATGTTTTAATTCAAATATTCAATGACATATCCATCAATTAATTGCTTAAATTCTGATCATTTGTGAAAATGTACTCTAACAACTATGTAAACATTTTATTCAACAGCATATAGAAGTGGGAATGTATTACTTAAAATACAAAGCTGAGCAGTACAAGCTCCCTCAAAAGTTGACCACAACAAGCCCCTTTTTTGTTGCCCACTTAAAGACAGAGAATGATAAAGTTGCAAAAAAGAAGATCACTGTGGACGAGGCTGCAGATGATGATGCTATAATGACTGAAATCTTAGGAAGTAGAGAAGATGTCTCTAGTGCATGGTCTGAAGTAGATTTTGTCTACATGCCAGTGAACAATGGAAACCACTGGGTGTTAGTGGTTCTTGATTTACAAAGCAGGATGATGAGGGTTTATAACTCTAAATGCAGAAGAGGAGAGTCCCTGAGAGATATTGGCAAATTTCTACAAGGCTTGACAAGTCTACTGCCAAAAATCTTGGACAAGTATGGTGTGTATGATGGAATTGGTGGTGGAGATATGGGTGAAAAACAATTTCAGATTGAAGGTGTAGAAAATTGTCCCCAACAGAATGACAGGTATGATAAGCAATAGTTATTCAATTTTCACAACTATTTATTCACCATTTAAAATAATATTTGTTATATATTATTCTAATCAACTGTTATTTGTCTTGTAATATAGTGGAAACTGTGGAATGTTCTTGTTAAAGTTTGCGGAATTCTTGATGATGGGAAGGGACATCAACGAAATCAAACCTGAAGACATGCCTATGTACAGGAAGAAAATGGCAATGGAGTTAATGATGTACAATGAAAGAAGGACCAAGGATTCAGTGAAATAAGCAACAAGATGCACTTGCTTATATGTAATACTGTGGGATAATTGACTTAGTAATCACAATATGGCCGTTTGAAACACTTTCTTTTTAATGTTTAGCACACATGACAATGGGGTACTGATGTATTTTGCTTAAATTGTATTTGGCTAATATCTTGACATTGCTACTTATATTTGGAATGTATTTACGATGCTGATGCACTTTTGTTGATATTGGGACATATGTAATGCTATTCTTTTAAAAGGATATATGTGTCCTAAATAGGATTACTACTGCCATTGATGAATGTCAAGTAATGCCTAAATAATGCCTAAATACTGTCATCCTACTTCCATTTAAAATACGAAGTACTGCAATCATTTGGAAGTAATAACTAAAATATGGAGTAATACTGTCATCGTACTGCCATCGTGAATACGTTGTACTGCAATAACTTTGAATTCATGAATTAAGGTGACAGTTAATACTATCATCATATTGCTATATGATGGTAGTATCTACTCACAGAGTGAATACTGACATTAAATATATTCTCTACTCCACCATACAGGCAGTATTAAGGAAGTTTTTATTAAAGATAATGTTGAAGTTTATTCCTTCAACCTTCAGGCCCAACACGTAAGCCCAAAGATTTCGAGTGGAGTGAGTGTATGGATATCTAGCCCAACAACCTTCAGATGGATCAGGAAACAAGAGGAATAGCAGGCAATGTAAGTAGGTATTATTAACTTCGTAATAACTCCCCTAAGTACAATCTACTTGCTAAAAAAGGCACGTCGGCCGTTCGTCTTACAAGGCAGTAGAAGTGCTGCGAGTAAGAATGCTATAGCTAGGGTGCTAAGAATAAAAAGTTGCCAACCCTTTACAATGAAATAAATGCTTCTATTTATACCCGCCAATGGGCAGGTAGCTATGCTGACGTGGAAGCCTGTGGACCGCTTGTGTCCCAACCACCAAATCTTCAGCATTTAATGCGCTTCCCGCCAGAATCTAGGTTTCCCGCCTGATTAGTGGGGACGTTCGTCCGCCCGGGAAGTGAGTTGGATTGCTCCAAGTGACCCTCCGGAGATACCGGCTGTTCGTCTCCTGGCCTTGTAGATATTCACCATGTGGACTGGGTCCCCTCCGATGACTACAGGCTTGTCCCGGAGACGTTCGTCGCCATCCCTGGTGGCCCGTGGTCCTGCTCCTTGTCCCTGCACAGATGTTCGTTGGAGGAGCCTGCTGGGCCTGAACCCCCTACGCCAGACGTTCGTCCATCCCCAAGGGACATGGGCCTATGAGCTGCCCTGGTGTTCTAGCTGGACGTGCGTCTGGCAATATGGGTTAGTGGGCCGGACCTCGGCTTGGGCCCTTAACCCAACACAAGTCCCCCACTTCTGATGTTCTGGGACTGCGCAGGACATAAGGAAGTAGGAATCCCCTCGTGGTAGACGTGCGTGTCTTGATACTTGTGTTTTCTGCGCCCGTTGGAAGCATACGCTCGTGGTCATGATGCTTGACAGCTGTCGACGGTTCAGGAAACGAGGTGACGGCTGATGTTGCGGCGGAGCATTTCCCTAGGAAATGTCATCATTACGTTTTTGCCCCACGCACAGCGCGTGGGCCGGAATACGCTCCTTGCCACGTGTCAGCCCCTCGTTGGTTTCCCCATCGGTGCTTCTCCTATAAATGCCGGGTTTTCCCTCTGAATTAGGGTTCCCAATTTCTGCTCTCTTGCTCTCGATTTTTCGCAGTTCTTCAAGTCTTCTTCCGAATTCGGCTAACCCCCTTGTAAGGTAATTTCCCCCCTCTACTCCTTTTCTTGTTCTGATTCTTAGCCGAAATGACTTCAATGGAGATTTCGTCAAGTTCTGATTCTGGTTCGTCGGGTTCCTCCTCGGGCTCCTCTTCGGACAATGTGAGTGCGCGCTCCCCCGGGAAGGCCAGTATTTCTGGGACCTCTGGTTCGGCCACGACGGTGGGGACCATCCGGGCTGATGGCGAGCCGGGTGGCGCTTCTCAAGGTAGTGGGAGCGACGCCGGGGATGGGAATGCTGCCGGGGCAGTAGATGTTATTGACGCAGTCCCCCTGAACGAGCGTCCCGCTGACTACGATTCTGGAGAGGAGGCCGAATCTGGTTCCGATATGGAGGTGTATGATCTGGGCATCCCTACGGATACGGAGCGCCACATCTGCCCGATCAGAAGCGCCCTTGACCACGACCAGGTCCTCTCCCGCGTGGCCCTCAACAAAATCCGTACTTTCTTCCCCCCACCGTTCGTCTAGAGCGTGAGAGGTGCTGAACATGTGATGAGGAGACGTCCGGGGATGATTGTGCTCCACTTGGATTCCGTCGAAGCCGGGCTGCGGTTCCCGCTCCATCCGTTCTATGTGGAATTCTTCCACTGCTTCCAGGTGGCCCCGGCGCAGTTCATGCCAAATTCTTATAGGTTCATATCTGCCTTTCTGGTGCGCTGCAAACTAGCGGGAGCCACTGCCACCCTGGAGCTTTTCCACTACTTCTACCGCATCACTCCCCAGAACTCCGATGGCTATCTGAGCGTGGCCGCACGTCCAGGGAGGAAGCTGTTCAAGAACTACCCTTCGTCTATCCACGACTGGAAGAACCGCTTCTTCTTCCTTAGATACGACGGGCCTCCCCTCCCGGCTCGGTGGAATGGCTATCCCCCCAAGATTGAGTCACCGGAGCCAACCGACGATCTACTTTGGGATGTGGAGAAGGTGTTGGAGGGCGGCGTCCGTCCAATAGCCGAATATCTGACCTTCGAGGCACTCTCCGGGGCAGGCATAGGTACCGCCCGTGTCCCTGGACTCTTTCCACCCTTCGACGCTCGTCTCGGGGCACCGGGCGGTCCTGTCCTTCGGGGTGAGTGTCCTATTGTATTCTCCGCTCGTCTTCTAATCCTTTGTTGTTTCTTGCAGGTTCACCACCAGATAGAGACCAGATGAATCATGCCGAGTGCCTGAAGACGAGGAAGGCCAAGGCGGCCGCTGCTAAGGCCGCACTGGCGAAAGCCAAAAACGCCCCCCGCCTCGGAGTCCAACTCCTCGGCCTCTGATGCTGCCCGGCGAACTGCTGAGGGTGAACAGCACCTGATCGCCACTGTGCTGGCTCAGGGTTCTGGGGCCCCTGCTCTGGAAGCTGCCCTTCCACCGCCGGTCGTCCCGTCGAAGGCGGCTCCTCAAAAGGGGACGGAAAAGGTCCCCGAGAAGAAACAGAAGAGGGGCCGCGAGGCAGGCTCCACCGGGCCCCTGCTTGAAGATGCCGGCTCACTGCCATTGAGCCGCCCGGCGGAAGAGCTTTGGAGGGAGATGGCCCTCAAGGCTGGCCTTGAATTGCCCGGCCGCTCGTCGTCTGAGGCGACCAGTGCTGCCTTGGCAGCCGCTCTTCAGGTAACCCCTCCTTACCAGACTTGATCCCACATTCCCCTCGATGAACGTTTTCTGACCATTGTCTTTATTTTTTCTTCTGTTACCCAGTCTGGGCTTCTAGTCCTCCAGGCTGAAGCTGCCAGGGAGGCCGACCTGAGGGAGGCCAAGGCCAAGGCCGACGCTGCTGTTGCCACGGCCCGGGAGGCCGCCCGTCGAGCTGAGGCGGAGGCTGCGGCCAAAGGGAGGGAGATAGCGGCCCTGCAGGCTGAATCCCGCTGCCAGCTAGCCAGCCTTGCAAAGGCTGGCTTTAAGCTCATTCCGGTGCACCCCGTTGCGAAGGACGCGAGTCCGGAGTGGCTGGTCGACACCTCCGGCTACCGGAACACTGGGGAGTTTATGGACTCCGCCAAGGACTACTGTGCCGGGGTCTTCGCTGATTTGTTCGCTGCAGCTTTGGAGAAGATACCGCCCCGCCAGCGCTTGGCCCGCGGCGTCCGGATTCTTGAGGGCTCTCCCCTGTCCCGCAAGTTCCTATATGAGGTCGGCGACAGCACCTTCGCCGCCGGCTACAATGAAGGAGTAAAGGCCACCCTCCCTACATTCGCCAAGCTGCTCGAGCCCGATTTCGACTTGGCCGCGAACACGGACGACGATCTCCTGGTCCAAGCGCTGGGGAAGCTGAGGAGGGACCAGCGTCGGGAGGAGGCCAAGGCCAGGGGGGAGATCCCAGAACCGCCGACCCCGGAGCCTGAAGAGGAGGAGGAGGAGCCGAACCAGAGCGGCGGCCGACCGGGATCCCCCTTCTTTGTATAATGTAATTTGTATTTTCCCATTCTAGCTCTTGTAATGCCCGGCCGTTAGAGCCGAAGAATATACATGCTTTTTTGCCCCAAAAATTACCTCTATGCTCATGACTTCTACTTGTTATTTTCCTTCCTTTTGTCTTTTGTTGTATGGAAATTCCCCCTGTGTTTCGATATTCTCCGTTGCATAGTCTGCTTGGACGTCCATCTCTGTTCCCCAATTGGTTTGGGGGCAGGGGCGTCTTTTTGCCAAAACCTCGTACTCATTTAGTGCGCGGCGCCGGTGTTAAGGTCCGTCTTCGGATGGCGACACTCGGCGCCGATGCTGGCTGTCCCTCCTGCCACAGCATTCTGATGGCAAGACGACGTTCGTCGGGGGTTGGCCAAACAGCACACTTTGGTCATACGCACGTCGGAGATTGCCTCAATGCTTGCTAACGACGCTCATCTACTGTTGCGTGGCATGAATGCTCAAGCTTCGAGCAAGGATGTCCGTCTGTCCTGCATGTTCAACCGGCATGGGCCGTGGAAAGGCGACGTCCATCCTCCGTGCGTCCCCTAAGGACATGATTTTTATCCCATCATTTTTGTGTCCTCCATCGTGCGTAGTACAAGAAATCCTTCCGGCGCCTCGACACACATCTGCCGCACGGCGTCCTCCCACCGCAGCCGGCCTGCCGCCCATACGATGTTCTGACCATGGGAAGACGCTCGTCGGTAGTTGTCTTGATAGTACACATCTCGAGTATGGACATATGGACGTATTTCCCTGAAAAAGCGTTCGGTGACGACGTTCGTCTCCCGTTGCGTGACATGAAAAACCGGTGCTCTGCAAGACGGACGTTGCCGGTTGATGCGTGTGTCCTCATCAGCCGCCGACGTTAAGGACAGCCGTGGAATTACGGATTTATGGAAAGACGAATGTCTCCAAACCCCTCCGAGCCGGTAAGCCCTCCTCAAGGGACGTTCGTGGCACGGATCCGGACGTCTTTGTGGTGGTTATGTGGCGACAAAATCGAGATGCCTTAAATGCCGTGGTAGGTACCGGTATCCAGGCGCCACGTGTCCTGCTTCGGTTGGCGCTATTCCGCGGTGTTGCCTATAAGTACCCAGAGTTCATGTGATCCACTCACATTCCTCCTTACGCTGCACAATTGTCTTCTCTCTCTAGATTCTTCTCAAACCGTTTCGGAAATCTCGACCCCCAAAGGTACCACTCGTTGTCATGTCTTCCGAAAGTCGCTTTGACGATGGATGTTCTTCCGGTGATGACCTGGAATATTATGAGCGGGGAATGCCACCCCGGCCTCCCCGTTATAGCCTCAGCTTCTCGTGCGTTCGTCGTCAGGTTCAACGCCTGACGAATGCTGATAAGCGACTGATCAGTCAATGGTTTTATCCCCCAAGGGCCTACGACGATCGGCGTCTGCGGAACCCCATGCGCCATCTGCCCGGCTATGTGGTGGTCCACCTGGATTCGGTGATAGCCGGGCTGAACTTCCCCCTTCACAGCTTCCACTTGGAACTTTTTAGGGCCCTTGAGATTGTGCCTGCGCAGCTCGTCCCTGCCGCCTATCGGATAATCGCTGGCTTCATCATTAGATGCCATAGCGTCGGTGTGACCCCCACCGTGGATCTGCTGCACCACTTCTTCCGTCTGTCCACCTTCGGACGCACAGGGTATTTGACCCTGATCGCCCGTCCGTCCATGGTTCTATTCTCGAACAATGCTGGGAATCCAGACGGTTGGGAAGAACGCTTCTTCCTGGCCGGAGTAGGCTCACCAATGCCATTCTCTGATCGGTGGAACGCTTACCCCGTGAAGACGATCCCGCCGCCCATGACGGACGAGGAGCTTGGATATGCCAAGCGCATAGCCGGACTTGGCATCCAGAACCTCCGGTTGCTGGTGGCCGAGCCTTTTAAGGCTCGGGCTGGATTAGGTGCGTCCGTTTGTACTTGTATTGTTTTAACATCTCTTCGCTGTTATGGTTCTGAACATCTTGGTCCCCTTTGTGCAGGAGTTTTTCCATACATGTCCACCATGAGCCGAGTCAACGCTACTTCGACCGGCACCGGCCGTGAGCACAAGGGGCGTGATAAGCCCGGGAAGCCGCTCGTCTCTCATGTCGAAACTCGGGTGACCAGGGTACGGGCCGAGGAAACTTCGGGGGCCGGCGCCTCCAAGAGGCCGCGTGTGGAGGGTACTTCCTCCAAGGCCATCATCTTGGCCGATGATTCTGATGGGGAGCCCGGAAGTCCCCTTAAGCGGAAACCCACCTCCCGGACCCATCTCCGTGCTTCTCCTCCGCGTACTTCCGACGTCCGCCGTCTCCGGGATGATGATGCCCCAGCTGCCAAGGGTTCTGACGACGCCCGTCCAAGCTCGCCTCCCGAAGCCAGTGGGTCTTCTCTTGGACTGATTGAGTTCTCCGGGGTTGGTCCCCGCAAAGAGTCAATGATGCTCTTCGGCCAGACAGCGTCCTCCATCTGGTGTGGGCTGAATCTCAAGGTCCCGCAGGACTTCGCTGCTCAGGAGGCCCCTGAAGATCTCTTGGAGTGCGGCCAGAGCACACTAGATAAGGCCGGGCTCTACTTCCACAGGGCCCGGATGGCCTTCGAGCACCAAGGCAGGGAGATGGCCAGGGTGCGGGCCGAATGCGACGCCCTTCTGAGGAATGCAAAAGGCAGGGCTGGCACTCTTCAAGAGAAAGCCGGTGCCTATGATAAGCTCGTTCAGGAGAATGCCTCTCAGAAGGAGCTCCTCAAGAAGCAGGAGGCCGAGCTCGTGGATCTCCGCAGCCGGATGTGGGCCGTAGAGCAGGCCAAGGTGGAGCTTCGCCAGACGGGCATGGACAACCATGTCCCTATTTATGAGGCCGATGTTGCCAAAATCAAGGAGTCTGGTTCTATTGCCTTCCAGAAATCCAAAGCTTACACTGGTGCCATCCACACCATGGCCATGAAGTTTCTCCCGAGGCTCGTCGGAGAATTTCTAGCCACCTGCCCGGACGCCTACCTGGATGGGGTCAAATTGCTTCAGGCCACCCCCACCGGTCGGCGTTTTCTTGACGATCTCGCCGACGATACCTACCGCAAGGGTATGGTTGGGCTAGTAGCGGAGAATCTCCCGACGTTCGAGCGTCACTTCGGGGCTCCTTTTGATCCGGAGGCGGCTGGCTTTGACGTCCTGATGGCAGATGCCCATGCGGGGGCCCTTGAGCTGCTGAAGGAGCAAGAGGAGACCGAAGCTAGGGAAAAAGCCAAGCAGACTCCGGACGTCGATCGGCAGTGATTCTCCGTTCATCACCTTATACTTGTACAATTGTTTCCATTCTTTGCATTGTATCTTCGCACATTGTAATTTCCCGGCCAGTAGTGCCGAAGAATAAAATCATTATTTGCTCCGTGCTCTTCTGGCATCTTTTTTTTTTTTTTTTTTTTTGGAGTCTTTTAGTGTTCGTTCGTCCTTGGTCCTTGGTCCTACCGGCGTCCCTGCTTCGAGGAGACGTTCGGTATCCGTAGACATCGCAAAGAAGAACAGGTGTATCTACATCGAGATTCCCCCTTTTTTCGTTCGTCCGTGGTCCTTTTAGTCTTACCGGCGTCTCTTGCTTCGAAGAGGACGTTCGGTACCCAAGGAACTCGCAGGGACGAACAGGTTTACCCTCACGGGTTCCCGACTTTGTTATCCCACGTCCATCGATCCATGGTCATTTGTGGGATAAACAGGTTTATCTTGGCAGGCTCCCTTGGTTCGTCTAGCCCCCTCCGCGTCTCTACTAACCTCTACATCGAGAGGCGTTCGCCTTCGGCGGTGGGAGAAGATCTGGCACGCCCGGGCAAGATTCCCTTCCGCATAGGAGCTACTCTCCTCTTCTCCCCATCTTTTTTTTTCTTTTTTTTTTCTTTTTTTTTTTTTTTTTGAGGGAGGCAATCATAGTCTTCGTCCGTCATTGGTCCTTGGTCCTACCGACGTTCTTACATCGAAGAGACGTTCGGTACCCGCGGACATCGCAATGAGGAACAGGTTTATCTGCATCGAGATTCCCCGGTGCTTCGTTCGTCCTTGGTCCTTGGTCCTACCGGCGTCCCTACTTCGAGGAGACGTTCGGTATCCGTAGACATCGCAAGGAGGAACAGGTTTATCTGCATCGAGATTCCCTTCTTTAACGGCCGTGGGCAAGAACAGAAGTGATGAAAAACAGGGGGCCTTATTATTGACGACGTCCGGCCATTTTACATGGGAGTGCGAATGAAACAAGGACAACAGCCTCTAACTATTGATAGAACTTCTTCAGGTGTTCTACGTTCCACACTCCGGCATGGTTCCCCTCCAGGGTATGGAGGAGGAACGTCCCCTGGTTGTATCTTCTGATGACCTGGTAAGGTCCTTCCCAGTTCTT